GGGCGTCGGCGGCAGGCGGGCCACTGAGGAGGGGTGGCCCCAGCCTGGCCTGCTCCTGCCCCTACATTCACACGGCCACACGCAGAGCGGCTGGACGCGGGTCCAGCGGGGAGCAGGAGTCGGGGTGTTGACCCACCGGCAGCTTCGAAGCACCAGCCTCCTCCGCGGGGCCAGACCTCGCGCGAGGTCAGCGCGACCCCTGCAGGCGGCCGGCCGCGGAGGGGGCCAGGGCTCCTGCCCCGCCCTTCCAGTCACGCGGTCCCCAGCGACGTTTCCTTCGCGGCGACGTCGCAGTCGCGTTGGTTGGCGTCATTGATTCACGTGACTCGCCCCTCAGGCCTGGGCTTTCTTGGGCTCGCAGCCTGGGTTCATCTCGTGTCTGGCGTGTGGTGGACAATCAAACGTTTTTCTCAAGATTGAAGGCCCTTCATGGGAAACCTCCAGGACAGCCTGAGCTTCGGGTGAACGCCCCCTGACCAAAGCTGGACACAGACTGGCTAGACCTGCATTTTCCAGAGGCCACCGGGTCCTTCACCTGACAGCTCTGTGGGGGCCAGGGAGGCGCGTAGTCACTGAGGAGCAGACCTTTAGCAGCTAGAATGGACTCTCCTGACCATCTTGACCAAGAGGCCACACTGGGTTCAGCATTAGGACCAGGGGGGACAGGAGACAGTAGGCCTGGTGGAGGGTTGGCAGGGAGCACCCAGGACACCAGGGTGCTGGTGAGAAGGACCAGAAGGGACCCAGGAAGCGGGCACAAGAGAGGCGTAAGCTCGTCTCCCCTCGAAAATGAGGGGGTGGGAGAGCATGTTTCCTCAGGAACCCCATCACCAGGGCTGGGACAAGTCAAACCACTGAGCTCAAAGCTCGCCGTTATTTGACCCCAGGCCGACCGTATTTCCAAGGCATAGACCGGCAGCTCAGAACTGAAGAGAAACTTCGAGAGCGTGCTGTCAGACCGCTCACCTTATGTAGGGACCGAATGCAGGCTTCAGAGTCCAGTTATGGCCAGCAGTGGTCCTGGGTGGCAGCCGGGTCAGCACACCCCTGAGCTGGTACTTTTTCCATTGTCCCAAGATGTCTCCCAGGCAAGTCACAGAGCTGAAAGGGACTTGCTCTCAGTCGATGAAGGACTAAAACTCGGCCAAATCAAGGACAGATAGCCAAGGTTTTTCAAGGGCAATGGTTTTGAACAGCCGTTTCTCCAAAAAAGATAAAGGGCCCAGCACAGGAAAGAGCCCAGCATCCCTGGGATGTTGGGGCGCAAATCGGAACCACATAAGCACTTCCTAGCCGCCAGGCGGCTGTGAACCGGCAGGTGGCAACTCGCCTGGACACGGCGGGGAGAGAAGTCGGAGCCTCAGCACCCACAGTGGCCGAAACATTGTACAGACCCGGGGACACTCTGCCATGTCTTAGAAGGTTCAGCGCAGATTAGTCGTGTGACGCAGCAATTCCACATCTGTGAGCGCCCAAGAGATGAAACAACCTCACACCCACGCTCGGTGCACATGTCCAGAGCAGCGTTGCTCACAGTTGCCCAAAGGTGGAACTCGCCCCAACACCGTCGACTGGTGAGTGAATGAACAAAACACTCCACCAGTTAGTCCTGTTTGGCCCTAAAAAGCCGAAGGGCTCCACGGGCGACGGCCTGGATGGACGTTGGCGACCCTGCTGAGTCCGGGAGGAGACGCGTGAAGGGACAGGGGTGACCACTGAGGAGAACGGGCTTGTTTTTAGGCTGCTGGAAATATTCTAGAATTAGGTTACAGTGATGGTTGCCCCAACTCTGACTACTTATTGAATTGCCGAACTCTGTCCTTTGAGTGAATTTTCTGGTATATCTCAACACAGCTCTAAAGATGTCATTTTTGTGTTAGAAACAATTTGGGGAAATTGCAAGTGTATTGGGTGTTCATTGCTGGTTTTGTTACTGCTAGTTTTGTTGGGGATTGTAGTGGGATGGGATGGGGGTTCTCATCCTTGTGGAGAGCCCTGCCTGTGTGTGGACGCTCCCTTCCCCATCTCAGGGAAACCCCAGGACCAGATAAACCCCCAAGTAGAACCCGCATGGGGAAGTACAGGCCAAAGCTGGAGGGCCGCCTGCAAGCTGCCAGTCTGCCGGGGCCACTGGGGGAACCATGCGTGAGCAAGGAACCGGTGGGGGACAGAGAACTGGGACAGGATGGGAGGCGCAGCGGTGGTTTGAGCTTCAGGAGTGAGTGGCGTTTAGAGTGGTGGGTTTGTCACGCTTTTTTTATTTATGCGCACGAGAGCTGGGGTGCAATGGAAGAGGACTCCCCAGAGACAGAGCCAGGAGCAGAACAGTTGGATCCTCTGAGACGCTGCTGAGGAGAGCAGCGGGGCAACAGAAGGGGTCTGCTCCATCCTCGGGGGTCACTCCCTGGCCAGGGATCAAACTCATGCAGCAGTCGTTGGCAATAGCTTGGCAGCACTGAGACTTCAACCCCTGCGCCACCAGGGAGGCCTGGTGTGGTTTTACCACGTTTACTCAGGGTCCGCCGTTAACAGGTGCCCAAGAAAAGTAAGATTCAGCAGTTTTTGATTTTATAATCAGAACAGAAAAACGCATAAATCAAGAAGGAAGTAAAGCTCCTATTTAAGGAAGAATCCCTCCTCAACTCTTGGAAATTCACAGACCTCTAAGACCCCCGGATTTTGGGAGAAACCTTTGACTAGCCCAGCTGCCTCGGAAGGTCAGCTAAGCACAGCCTGCACCGGAAGACCTGGAACCTGCAGACGCCGTTTCCGGGGCAAAGGGGCCTTGGCCGCGTAGCAGGGAATGCAGACTCCGAGCCGCTGATGTGGCTGGGCGGGGCCTGGGTTAGCGAGCTGCAGCCGCTGGGCTGCCCGCCAGGTGGCGCTGCACCCCACGGCTGGGCCGGCCGCGGCAGTGGCAGCCCCGAGTGGGGGCGGCCCGCATCTGAGTCCCTACTCCCCTTGCCGGGCGTGGGCCAGTTCCAAAAGCTGAAGTGACGGGAAAGGGCTCTCGTCCGGAAGGGGCCTTAGTGCATGGTGTGGGCCCGACCCGGGCACCATTGGAGTAACGGTGGAGGGCGCGGCCTTCACACTGCGAGATGTTTAGCTGCAACTTCAAGGGCCAGAGCACCCCGCCTTTCCGCAGACCCCAGCAACCAGGAGCTTTGCAGACACTGCCCCATGGCTTCTGGTGGGGGGAATGTGCTGCCCGGTCGAGCAGCATGGTGCGGACTGGACCAGGGCCTTGACCCACCAGGAGAGAAGTCTCCAGGACTCGCCAGAAGTCTCTGCGGAGTGGCCAACCTGTGAGGTGGAGCTGTGGGGGCAGCCGCCCCTCGGGCGGTGGGAACTGTGTAAGAAGGGCTGAGGTGTGGCGCTCGCAAGCACTGGCCCCTCTGCTGGGAGAGGAAGCTGAGAGCCGGGGGCGGGGGGCAGCACAGGCCACAGCCCGACGGGTGCCCCTTGGAGGACGCTGACTTCTAGGGTGAGAATGCTGGCCTGTTTGCTCGAGGTGGCGTGGCCATCTCCGAGCGTTCTCTAAACCGAGAGACTAATTGGCTCGCCCAGGGCGACAGCTGAACACTGGGATTTTATTTCCACTTTGAAGAAAAGAAGGGGTGTGATCATAGAAATTCAAGGCTTTTAACATTTCATATATATTCTGCTTTATATTCCACTTTAACAAGCTTCATTGAGGTATAAATTATATATCATAAAATTAATAGTTCAATGATTCATAGTAAATGTACAGAAATAATCCAGAAATAATCCAGAACATTTCATCACACTAACATTTTTGTTATTAAAGCTGTCACTCGAGAAAAGAGAGAAGATGCCCTTTGGCACACTCCCAGTCTGCACTACCACCTGCTTCTGGGCGAGCTTTATTGACCAACTAGGGTTGCAGCAGCTCTGAAGATTTTCTAAATCAAAGTGCTTTGATAAAAAATGCTCAGCTGTCTGTGGTGTGCAGCGTGTCAGTAGCGCTGTGCTGGGATGGAGCCCGCGCAGAGGCTGTGCGGCTGTGCTCCTGCTCCATGTGCCATGGCCAGGAGTCGCGGGTACCCGACGGCTGTTGGGGGTTTCTCCTAATCCGGTGCGCACTCCTTTTTCTGAAAGAATGATGTGTATGTGCATCATAGAGATTGTCTGGCACGGTAGCAAATGCATATACAGTTGGGACAGAATTTACCTTTCCACGTATTTTAGAGGCTAAACACATAAAGCAGCAGGGGAGGGAGACCTCACAAGGACACACCTGCAGGACCACCCTGTTCTCCCTCAGCAGCTGTCCTCGCTCCAACCAAGAGCACCATCCTGTGACCCGATGCACGACCTGCCACTGTCTCACCCCTCAGGTCTCCTGGGACTCCTTGTCCGTCAGATGTGCACCGTCACTCCTCAGAGACCTCTTGCTCTCCTTGCAATCACACAGTCTTTGTGATTTACATGCAGGTAAGGGGAAGGAGCAGCACACACACCTTCCTTCGGAACAGACAGAATGACACCTGTGTTCAGTCACCATGGTGGAGTCTGTGGTGCTGGTGAAGGTTTGAGCTCTGCCGAAAGCTTTTCCCACACTGGCCGCACTGGTAGGGCTTCTCGCCAGTGTGGATCCTCTGGTGCAGCTTCAGGGTTGACTGCCGCCCGAAGCAGTTCCCACACTCTCCACACGTGTAGGGCCTTTCCCCTGTGTGGACTCGTTTGTGTCGTTTCAGCTCTGAGTTCCAGGTGAAGCTTTTCCCACAGTCATCGCACTTGTAGGGCTTCTTCACAGAGCGGGTGGGCTGGTGACTGAGGCGCTGCAGACGGTTGCTCAGGCTCCTCTTACTTCCTTTGCTTTTCTTTAGCTCCCTCAGTGGGTGGCTCTTCAGGGAGCTGCTGAGGAATTCCATTTCCCTGCAGTGTCGCTGGACATGAGTCAATGGCTTTTGCGCTTTTGGGGGGCTGCTACGCCTGTGCAATAAGCGGGTTTCACTCCTGTTCGCAGCTCTCGGCTCAGGGTTCTGCAGACCACGGCCTCTGGGTCTGCCGGCTGACGGGACGCAAGCCTTTGCTCCTTTAGCTCCCTCTTGCTGGGGATTTTCCTTGTTGTCACTTTTCATTCTGGGGGCTTCTATAATTAGAAAGAAATATCTCACTGAACTTTGAAGAAGGACACTCAGCAAGAGCTGTGAGAAACACGGCAGTTCTCACAGTCCGGCCTCCCACGGTTACATGCGTTAGATTCACCTGGGGCATTTGTCCAGCCAGGTAGCCTGCCCCACTGCCCCACAACGCTGAGTCAGATTTAGGGGTGGGTGAGGCATGAGGTCTGGAAATTTATACACTTAACATGCTCCTGGGTGATCCTGATCGATACTAGAATTATGAGCCAAGTTCTCCATCCCCACGCCCCCTTACCAGGGAGAGCTACAGGCAGGGGAAAACAAGGCAAAGCAAACCCATCAGAGCCAATCAGCAACACTGAGGGAGAAAGAAGAGAGCTGAGACTTCAACACCACAACCATATAGGCACTGAGAGACTGCCACTGCCTCTCTAGAGGATGTAACGCCACGAACACGGTGTTTCTTTCATTACAAAATTGGCAGCGTAAGTGTCTAGAAACTGGTGTGTGAGCTAGACATTGTGTTCTCATTAAAGCAATTCTATCACTTCTGACCACCAGGATTAAAAATCAGTTTGGGGCCCTCCCTGGTGGCGCAGCGGGTTAAAGCACAGCGCTGAGAATCTGAAGCCACTTCCTCATGAGTTCGATTCCCGCCTGCAGCCTGCCCCGGAGGAGACCACATGGCGAGCCAGACCTCTCCTGGCCGCCCGCTGCTTCCCTCAGCAGTGTACTTCGTGGATCTGCCTGTTCTGCTCCCCACTCTGTCTCTGGTGAAGCCTCTCACCGCCCCTGAGCCTCTGGCCTGTACCCCAGTTCTGTATGCACAAATAAATAAATAAATCTTTAAAAAAAAAAAATCAGTTTGGGGCCCTCCCTGTGGGCACAGTAGTGAGGACGCAGCGCTGCAAGCCAGCTGCAGCCTCTTCAGTGTGAGTTCCATTGCAGGCCCCAGAGGTGACCCCAGGGCGCGGCAGACCTCTCCTCACCCGCCCACTGCTCTTCTCAGCAGTGGACTTCGTTGATCTGCCTGTTCTGCTCCCTGCTCTGTCTCTGGTGAAGCCTCTCACCACACTGGCCTGTACCCCCAGTTCTGTGTGCAGAAATAAGTAAATCTTTAAAAAATAAAGAATCAGGTGGAGATGAGCTGCAGCGATGTGTGTGTAGGCCCAAGGGTCGAGTCTGCATTACCCAGTGGGCTTCCTGACGTGGACAATGTGTGTGTGATACTCAGTGCGGCAGCACAAGTGGCTCCTCAGCACTTGAAATGTAACTAAAGTGACTAAGGAACTGAAAAAGTTTATGCAATATCAGATTTAAATAAACAATCCAATCAATAACAGTTAACCGAGTCTCAACATGGCAGTCAGGTAATTCAGCGGGGAAAGAACTCTTCAGCAAATGGTGCCACAAAAACTGGGTTTGCACATTTAAAGCCCATAACAAAAACAGTCTCAAACAGGATCAGAGGCCTAAAAGTAAGGGCTGAACTCTGGGGAAATACAGGTGGAAATGTTTACCGCTGAGGATTAGGCGATGAGAAGATGGTATTTTAGATCTGTCACCAAGCGTACAAGCAAATAAAAAATAAGTTGGACTGCCTCAGAACTTAAAATGTTTGTGCTTAAAGAATACTATCAAACAGAAAAGACAACCCACAGAAGATACCTGCAAGGTATAGGCGGCATATAAAATACATAAAGAACTCATAACTCAACAATGAAAGAGAAACCGCCCGTTCTGCCGAGTTCTCGCTGCACCCCACTCCCCTGGCCTAAACTCCAGCTCTTCTATGCAAAACTAAATTGAATTAAATTTTAAAAAACACGTCAGAGGATGACTATAATCAAAAAAGACCAGCAAGTGTCGACAAGGATGTGAAGAAACAGATTCCCATAGACTGTCAGTGGGCACGAAAAACAGGGCAGTTACTTTGGAAACAGTTTGGCCGTTACTCCGAAGGTTAGATGCAGTCACCATGTGGCCCGGCGATTCTACACACAGCGATGCACAGGGGAACTTAACATACGCGTCCCCAGGAAAGTGTGTACACTCACGTTCACAGCAGCAGATTGACAAAAGCCAAATGGGGAAGCAAGCAGAGTCACCAGTCATGGATGGCTACACAAAATGCCTGTCCATGCACACGTTACTCAACATGCCACAGAAACCAGAGCACTGACTGCTACGTGCATGAGTCCCGAAAGCAGTGCTCAGCAGAGAAGCCACAAATCTATGCCTACAATATCAAAAGGTGATGCATTGTATGTATGTCTTTTTAAAGATGGATTTACTTCTGCATACAGAACTGGGGTACCGGCTGGTGATTCACCAGAGACCGTGGGGAGCAGAACAGGCAGATGGACAAAGTCCACTGCCGAGGGGTCAGGACAGGTCTGTGTCGTGTGCACCGGCTCGCTGGCGGTGCCGCACCCTAACCCACTGCGCCATCAGGGAGGCCGCGTCGAACCGTGCCCTTTAAAGGTAAGCCTGACAGTGAGTTGTATCTCCGTAACTAAACCCGAGACGCTCTGGGTGCTCAGTGGCGAAGGCTGGGGACACAGCTGAGAAGGCTGGTGATGAGGGGCACGTCCCCTCTGGGGGGCAGTGGACAGAGTAGGGGCATCACACAGCCAGCTGCTGCGGCTGCACGGCAGGGTGGCCGGGGGGCGCTGGCGGGGCAGAGCCTCCATTGAGTCGCAATGCTTTTCTGCAGGGCCGAGGCCCGGGCGCGCTCTCTGCTGAGCGCAAGGGTGGTCCAGCCACGGGTTCACGAAATGCACAGATCTTAAGGCAAGGAGGTCCTTTTACAGCCCTCCACGCTGCTGACTTTACCGTCGTCACATCACCAAGACTGACCGAAGTGTCACTGTCATTCGGCCTGAGCGCTCAGAAGACGAAAGCGGGGCCAGCCCCACGCTGGCATCACCAGGGCGGAGGATGCGCACAGCGGGTTACAGATGGACGGGTCACAGGAGGAGGGAGGGCGGGAGGCCACGCGGAGCTCTTCCTGCGCCCGCAGGACACTCACCAGGGCAGGAGATGGACTCGGCCACCTCACACGGAGCCCCGCGGCTGGTGTCTGGAGCTGTCTTCAGCTCTGAAAGGGGCGAGAATAATACTTGGGCACTAAAACATCTGGGCCCTGGATGACCGAGCCCTCGTTAGCGGGTAATGATATGAACATGCTTCGGGCGGTGTCACTGCGATCGGGGACCACAGACATCAGAATCAACCGCGCAGCGCGCACCCGCAGAACGTGGCTCTCACTGCGGCCAAGGCTGGGGAGGCGGAATGTTTACCTGTCCCAGTCGACCTGGGAGGCGGTTCCTGGAGAAGTGGGGATTTTCCCCAGGGGTGGGGGCTCAGCTGGTCCTGGATTCTTGCCAGGAAAGGCTCCCCTGGAGCACTCTCCCTGGGGTGTCTCCTAGGAGTCTGCAGCTGAAAGTCCGGCAGCACCTGCTCGCCAAGCTGAGCTCCAGTTCTCTCCAAGAGCACCTTCTGCCCCTGCATGCAGACGGCCACCTGGGAAGAGCCGCCAGGTCAGCGCGCAGCCTGGGGACCCAGCCTGGGGACTGACTGCTGGGGCTCGCACCCCCTCCAGCCCCGCTGCCCCAGGAGTTCCTGACAGTGGGCCGGGAGGTGGCGGGTCTGACCGAGGCTTACGTGCTCAAAGGCAGCAAAGGGAAGGGCGTGCCAGTGAAGACTGCGGCTGCAACTTCCGGTGCGGCAGCCCCCACACCTGGGGGGCTGCATAAATGCCAGGTTCGGCCACGAGGCCGGGGGCTCCCGCCCCGTGCTCACCCCCAGGAAGGGGCCGCGCTGAGGCTGTAAGCTGTGCCGAGGGCGCTGCAAGGAGGTGCCCGTAGCCGCAGCTGCCAGGCTCTGAGAGCCCCCAGCCCGCCCTGCCCGCCTCCACTGCCCGGGGCCCTGGGCTGCTTCCTGCCTTGGCCCAGTCTGGGTGTGACTTGGGGAGGGGGGGGCGGGAGGTAACTAGGCTGAAACTTCCTGATCCAAAGGGGCCTCACTGGGCATGGTCCTCTGAAGTGCCCACAAAGGCTGCTAAGAATCCCGAGTGTAGGGAAACTTGGGGGGCAGGCCTCTCTCAGGTCTTGGGCCCATAAGGGGAAGAACCTCTCTACCTCCTCACTGGAGTGTCTGCAGCTGGTTTTCTGAAAACCTGCCACATCCCCCTGGAAGCCTAAATGGGGTGCAGGGTGGTGTTTGCAGACGTCCAGTCCATGTCTGGCCTCCAACTAGGGCCAAGCACCACCCAGGTGAAAAGGAGAACCTGGGCGGATGCCCGTCCTCACCCACTGCTTGGGCCTCTTGGGCGCTCTGTGAAACTCCTCCACCAGGGTCACCATCTCCTTGCTGCTCGCTGGACACCGATGCCGAAGCCGGGCCTGGATCTCGGGGGGCAGGATGGTCAGGAACTGCTCCAGCACCAGCAGCTCCAGGATCTGCTCCTTGGTGCGCAGCTCCGGCTGCAGCCACTGGCGGCAGAGCTGGCGGAGCCGGGACAGTGCCTCTTGGGGTCCAGTCACCTCTTGATAACAAAACCGCCGAAAGTTCTGGCGGCAGAGCTCAGGGTCCGGGCAGTCTTTGGGGGGCGGGGACCCCCGCTTATCTTCCAGCCTTGCGATGATGTGTCTCTCTTGTCTGGAGGAGGTCTGAGCGTCGGGCTGCGACCTCAAAGTTATCTCCATCTTAGCTGCCATCTTGGGGGCCGGGGCCGGCTGCGCTCTCCGGTAAACCGCTCAAGCCGCCGGGACCATGACGCAGAGGGGCCCGAGTACTAGAGACGACGGTCCTGCGGCCGCGGGGGCCGCGGGGCGGCCGGGGACCCGGTCACGCCGGGCCCTGACCCCGCACTCTCGAAGACCACGCAGCCCTGGGCGTGGGAAGAGGGCGTCTCTCCGCCACTGTCCAACTGTCCTGCCCAGGGGACGAGTGACAACGTCCGCAGAGGAAACGAGAGGCCAGAGCGCGACTCCCCCCGGCCGCGAGCACGCCGGAACCGGCCCGACGGCTGCCGGGCGCCCGGAAAGTTCGCGGGATGCGACAGGTAGGCGCGTCCGCCCCGCCGCG